GCCAGGGGGCGCCAGCCCGCGGCCACGTGACCCCGCCCCGCCCAATGCAGAGATCGGCTGCTGAGTCCACACCTGTGGAATGGGGAAGACGAACTGGGAGGATCCAACCGGGACCCTCTCTGAAACACACCCTTCCCGGACTTGACGTTCGGATGCCTAATACGCACCTTAACTTGACCTTGTCCAAGCAGAACTTCCCCACCTCACCAGCTTCTGCTCCCCGCCTCCCCGCCGTCTTTCCCAGTTGCATCCTCCCAGCTGCTCAGGCCCAAGACCCTCGGAGTCATCTGGATCGTTCCCTTTCTCTCAAACTCTGCGTCCCATCCATTGGCAACTCGTGTAGATTCCTCCTTCTAAATCTGAAATCTCACGACCACCTACAGGGCCACTACCCTGGTCTAAGCCTCCTCCTGGCTCTCCGCAGCCTCCTAACAGGTCTCCCCATGTCCCGAGCTGCCCAACGTCATACAGAACCAGGTCCACCCACCTTTGTGTCTACCCATAAGGTCGGGTTTTTATTGATGCTATTTCAATCACAAAAGTTAGGCACCACATGGAGTTCCCAAGAAGGCAGTTCTTCTTAAGACCACCTGTTCACTTGGTAGTCAGAGCCGTGGGCATGCAGGCTGGAGCCACTCCACAGGTCAGACTGTCTTGCAAACCACACATAGTATTATATGTAAGGATATAAGGATATAAATGTTACAGATGAAAATTTCACATCAAACACAGGAACATTTAACATCAAGAGAAAAGGGGTTAACGAACCAGTCCAAGGAGAGTGTTATGGACAGAGTCCTGGCCTGATGGGGATAGTCGTCAAGGGCTTGCAAGGAACAGTCCTTGATTTGAGTAGAGCCTTCAGAGGCAGACACCAGGTGCTGGTCACAAGTGATAGCAAGACTCAGTCTGTTAAGGTGGCGGTGTCTAGCTGCTTAAGTCCTGCTCATTTTATGGCCCTTGAGTCCTCTGATGAGGACTTATAGTAAAGGGCGATGCCCTTATCTGGTTGGGTGTTGTCTCCGTTGGTTAGGTGAACATCTGGACCCTGTTGGCTTGATGCCTTTTGAAATGTAAGATGGAGTTTTTTTAAAACTTTATTTATTTATTATTTTTTGGGACAAGGTGCCTGTCGCCCACACTGGAGTGCAGAGGCACAATCATTGCTCACTGCAGTCTCACGATCATTGCTCACTGTAGCCCCAAACTCGTGGGTTCAAGGAATCCTCCCACCTCAGCTTCCTGAGTAGCTAGGACTACAGGCACATACCACCATGCTGAGCTAATTAAAAAAAAAAAAAACTGGCCAAGCACTGTGGCTCACGCCTGTAATCCCAGCACTCTGGGAGGCCGACATGGGCAGATCACGAGGTCAGGAGATCGAAACCATCCTGGCTAACGCAGTGAAACCCCATCTCTGCTAAAAATACAAAAAGTTAGCTGGGCATGATGGCACACACCTATAGTGCCAGCTACCCCAGAGTCTGAGGCTGGAGAATCGCTTGAACCCGGGAGGCAGAGGTTGCAGTGAGCCGAGATCACACCACTGCACTCCAGCCTGGGCAACAGAGTGAGACTCCATCTCAAAAAAAAAAAAAAAAAAAGTGTAGCGATGAGGTCTTACTATGTTTCTAGGACTGGTCTCAAAACTCCTAGGCCCAAACAATCCCCCACCTCAGCCTCCCAAAGTGCTGGGATTACAGGCATGAGAGAATGCGCCCAGTGATGGAGTCTTTTTCTAAGATGGAATGACTTATGTCAAGGGTTCTCTATACACCTCCCTTACCCTTCCCTGCTACAGTCTGCTCTCCACTCAGCAGCTAGAGTGATGTAGGTCAAGACCTTCCTCTGCTCAAAACCCTCCAATGGTTCCCATCTCACTTGGGGTAAAAACTGA